GGGAAACGAGGACGCAGAATGTTGAGAATGATGGCCAGGGGACCATGACCCCCGACGTCATGTTTTTTCGCAATGTGGACTTCTACCAGTTTAGAGCCTATCCCCGAAGCCTTTTCTTCATCCCGAGTCGTTTTTCTGTACGGTCCCAAGGCCCTGGCGAGGGTTCCTGGAGGCCGAGAACTAACAAAACTTCCAGTGGTGTCTTGTTTCGCTCCAGGAGCATGCTTGTGGGAGAGGGAGGAAGAACAGGATGATCAGGAGGAGGACGTGTGGCGCATTCTGTGCCACTCCGTGTTCATTGCGAGAGCCAGGGGAGAACGTCTCCCCGCACTCCGCCTCGATTGGGATTTGAAGACAGTGTGTCGGGCAATGCCCGGATCTTGGACTCAAGAGCTTGGATCCAGGCCCGATCACGTCCGCCGCTCTCCTCCCACCCCTCCTCCGCCGCGTTCCTCCTTCCCCACAGGCCCCTCTTGAGGCCTCCAGAGGCTTCAGAGTTGCCAGAAGCTGCCAACACGCATTCCAACGAATGCCCAAAAGCCTTTCCCTCGGCCCTGGGGTCGCGGAAGAACGTGCCCAGAGGGGCAGCCCGAGGATGCCGCAGGTGGCAGAAAAAAGCATCGTGGACCGCACGTCCCTGAGTAGAGACCACGGCGAATAAAACACAGCCGAGGCCAAGGGCAGATCCGAGAGACATCGACGAACCGTCGGAGGTCCGCGCGGATCTTTTGCATCGTCGCTCGCCCCCGGCGCTGCTCCGTGCACGCTCCGCGCGCCAGGGGGGGGGGCCCCAGCGTTCGATGAAGAACAACTGCATAAACGTAAACTTTGGCGCTCCGCGCAGATTTCTTGGATACGCGCTGGGCCCCCCCGGCGGCGCCTCTGGCGTCGCCCCTGGCGCGCTCCACGCGCCAGGGAGGGGAGTCCAGCGCAGATCCAAGGAACCCGCACGGAGCGCAAAGTTTGTTTGTGTGACGTTTTTTCTTCCAAGCGTGGATCCACGAACTCCGCGCGGACCTCAGGAAGTTGTTTCGACGGTGATCCAACGGGGGGTGCGATAGGGGGCAGGCCATCTCAGCAGGTGGCGGGGCTTGTCAGAAACCCTCCCTAGTCTTCTCAGGAGCCGCCTGCGTCTTCAGAGAAGGCTGAGAAAGCAGAGGCCTTCCGAGTCTTCCGAGAAGGCCTGCCATCCCCCGTGGGTTCGCCGCCGATCTTTGCTCGAGGGAAAAACGGCAGCTGGGTCTTTGGTATCGCTCGGACGTGTGCGTTTTTCTCGGCGAGGGCCCCGGAGAGGGCATCTTGGACCAACCTGCGAGCGAGTGAGCGCACGACACAGGAAAATGCACTGGGAATGGACGTCCGAGCGATGGCAACCCAGACATGCGACGTCCTGATTTTTTCAGGACGGCGTCCCTGGAAGTCCCGACCCTTTCTCCAGGACCGGTTTTTCGTCCTGAGTCGTTTTTGAACGGTTGCGAGGCCCGGCGAGGGCCCCCGGGGGCCGAAAATAGCCAAACACCTCCCGCCCTGATGTTTTGGACGACGAGATCATGTCTGGGAAGGAAAGGGCAGCTCCCGGCCCGGGAGGAGGAGGATGAAGTGGGGGAGAGGGAGGAAGACCAGGAGGAGGAGGAGGAGGAGGAGGAGGAGGAGGAAGAAGGAGGAAGACCGGAGGAGGAGGAGGAGGAGGAGGAGGAGGAGGAGGAGGAAGAAGGAAGGGGCAAAAGGCAGCCGGGCTGTGAGCCGACCCGGCTGGCGGCCGACGACGGCGAACCCGACGACGTCGATATCGGCCGCGGCGCGCCGACTGGCCGCCGCCGGGGGGCGAGCGGCTGCGGGCTAGCGGCGGCTGCCGAGCGGGCCGCGGCCCTGGCCAGAGGGAGAAGACAGGCTGCTCCAGATCCCTTCCCAGACATGATGGCGTCGCAAAAAGATCAGGACAGGAGGTTTTGGCTATTTTCGGCCCCGGGGGGCCCTCGCCGGGCCTCGGGACCGTCCAAAAACGACTCAGGACTAAAAACCGGTCCTGGAGAAAGGGTCGGGACTTCCAGGGACGCCGTCCTGAAAAAATCAGGCATGTCTGGGTTCTCTTACTCCTCCTCCTTCTCCTCCTCCTCCTCCTCCGCCTCCTCCTCCTCCTCCCCCTCCTCCTCCTCGGCACTCGATTCTCGATCCTCGATCCTCCTCCGCCTCGATCCTCGCTTCTCGCTCCTCCTTCTCCTCCTCCTCCTCCTCCTCCTCCTCCTCGTCGATGCTCGACCCTCCTCCTCCTCCTCCTCCTCGATCCTCGGATACACAGTCAACAACTGTCCACAAAAGCTCTCCGCTTCCTCCTCTGTCTACAGGTGGCTGGATTGGGTGGGGGGGAAGCATGCGGGCGGTAGCACTGGGGCCGTCGGTGGAGCTCCCTATGGGGCCACGAAGCGCTGTACTGGGTGGGGAGTTGTCACGCTGGCGTTAGAACTGGGACCTTCGGTGGAGCTCCTTTATGGGGCCACGAAGCGCTGCACTGGGTGGGGAGAACGCATGCGGGTGGTAGCCTTGGGGCCTTCGGTGGAGCTCCCGTGTCGGCATGGTTCCTGGTTGGACGCCGGTCGCAACGGGGAGGGGGTACATATTTGTAAGGAACACTGACAAACCCCTCCTCGAAGGGGAAGAAGGGGAGTGGAAGAGGAAACACCCTAAACCACCTTCGCCCAGAGGGCTGGTGGGATTCTACCTCTCTCTCCATTTCCTTGCAATGTGCTCAGTATTTTTTGATTCGCCGAATGGGGTGTCGCACCTGGCCTTGGCTCCCAGAGGGCACTTGCACTGCCTTGCCCACCGCTCGCTGTGCGAAGGGCGAGGGCGCCGCGGGATGCTGGACGGGTGCGTGAGGGCTGGACGACCCTGGTCCAGTCCGCGTGCGGGGCCAGGGCGAGATGCACCGGAGCAGCTCGACGGAGGTCCAGATCCGACGACGGCACACCGAGGGGAGAAACCTCAGAGAGATCAAGATCGCGCTGCGTGCCCCGCGGTCCAGGGGGGCGGCGCGACGGTCTGGCGGCGCTAAGGCAGCCGCGCGCCGCGCGCCGCGTGGCGCGGTGCGCGGAGTGAGGTGACCCGCGCGGAGCAGCAAAAGCCGTCGAGCCCTCGGCGAGCGGGGCGGCGCTCGCGAGAGCGGCCGTGCCCCCCCGCCCCAGGACGCGGGCCAGGGCCACGGGCTGCGGCTGGCGCACGCCTTTGGCGTGTACCCCGCGGCCGTGCGCGACTCGCTGGTCTCCGTGGGTGACGACGCGTTCGCCTACCTGTCTGGACAGCGCTTCTGCCTTTCCTCCTCCTCCTCCTCCTCCTCGTCCTCGTCGTCCTCCTCCTCCTCAACCCCGGCGGGCGCGTGCGGCCGTCGCCGCCGTCGTCGCGGTCGCAGTTGTGAAGCACGCAGCACCCCGCAGTTGCGGATAAGGGTGAGGGGGCGGGTGCGGGGTGGGTCGCGGGTGGGTCGCGGGTGGGTCGCGGGTGGGTCGGGAGGTCGCCGGGTGGGTCGCGGGGTGGGTCGCGGGTGGGTCGCGGACGCGGACAACGACAACGCAACAACAATACCACAAGCAGAATCCGCCGGACGAAACGCCACTTCTGCCACGCACCTATGGACAATGAATGACCGCTGGGCCCCCCTCACTCTGATGACTTGTCCATTCTGAAGGGGGAAATCCTGGAGGTTTCGCGAGGCGCGCAATAGTTGTATCATCTAGTCCCCGCGTCCGCCCCGTCAGATATGGGACGACGTTCGCGCGGCGATGTTCCGACGTAAGTCCGACGCAAATCCGACGTGAATCTGGCGTAAATCCGACGCAACCCGACGTGAACCCGATACAAGTCCGACGTGAATCCGACGTACATTAGGTCTCAAGGTGCCGCGCGAGGCCTCCATGTATTTCCTCATGACCTTTCACGCGCTGCAGTGGAAGGCAGGGGTAAACACTTCGGCTTCTTCTCTTTGTCTTGACAACCTTTGCCGCCGGCGCCAACTCCACGACGTGAAGAGTTATGGATAGCTGCGCCGAAATCGACTCTTCGACTCCTGACGGACCGCGTGAAGACCCTCTTGAGCGTTTTTGAAGCCAGTCGCAGGTGTTTCGGCGTCGAACCCGTGGGGGAAGTGAGAAGGAGAAGGCCTTCTCAGAAGGCTCAGAAGTCTCCCGGCCTTCTGAGAAGTTCTCTAAGCCTTCCCCGAAGACGCCGAAAACTTCTTAGAAGGCGCGAGGGCTTCTAAAGGAGGAGGAGGAGGAGGAGGAGGAGGAGGAGGAGGAGAGGGAGGAGAGGGAGGAGAGGGAGAGGAGAGGGAGGATATGGAGGCGAGGGAGGCGAGGGAGGAGAGGGAGGACAGGGAGGAGAGGGAGGAGAGGGAAGATAGGGAAGAGAGGGATGATGGTGATGGTGATGATGATGCTGCTGCTGATGATGATGATGATGCTGATGCTGATTATGATGATGATGATGATGATGATGATGATAATGACGATGATGATGCTGCTGCTGCTGATGATGATGATGATGGTGAGGCTGCTGCTGCTGCTGCTGCTGCTGCTGATGATGATGATGATGATGATGATACTGATGACGATGATGATGCTGATGATGATGCTGATGATGTTGATGATGATGATGCTGATGATGATGACGATGATGCTGATGATGCTGATGATGCTGCTGCTGATGATGATGATGATGATGATGATGATGCTGATGATGATGATGATGCTGATGATGATGCTGATGATGATGCTGATTATGATGATGATGATGATGCTGCTGCTGATGATGATGATGATGATGATGATGATGATGCTGATGACCATGATGCTGATGATGATGATGATGCTGATGATGACGATGATGATGGTGATGATGATGATGATGCTGATGATGATGATGATGATGATGATGGTGGTGGTGATGATGATGATGATGCTGATGATGATGATGATGATGCTGAGGCTGATGCTGATGATGATGATGAT